AAAAAAACTTTGTCTTCAAAATAAGGGTCCGTCTTATACACCGGTGCATCTTATATTCCGAAAAATACGCTACTTTAAATTAAACATTGAGGCAGAATATCAACAACAGTTGCTTACCAAATGAAAACCAATAAAAAAAACAAGTTTTAAAATCGTATATTTTAGTAGTTTACTACAGTGATGTAAAAATTATTACATCAACCAATTTTTTTTTACACTTTCCTGTAATATTCTACGAGATTGTGGAAACGTCAGAACTAGTGTAAAACGATGATATAAGTTGACCTATACATTATTCTTTATTTACAAATCAACTCTATCAAACGTATTACATCAGATGATATTTGGAAAACATGAACGTGTTCTACGAGTAGGAAAACCTATATTTAAGGTTAACACTATTAATGTAATTGACGAAGAGTGGTCACAGTGTCTGTTTCTTGTTTTAATGATAATATTTGGTTGTTACCTTTCTGGTCTTATTAACTGCTTGAGGTCGCTGCGGCATAAAATCAGGGCTTCTTACAGTTCCAAGGTACTACTCGGTTTCTTCTTCTGTACTTTGTTACCAATTACCTTCCAGTAGTTTTCAGATCTGGGCTGTTGTCTGGCCAGTTGAGTGTCTTGATCCTCTCCCTTTAAAAATGGTCCTTCACCTGAAGCAATGAAACAAAACCTAAGATATATTTTCGTAGATCTACGTAGATTAAAGTTTCCTCTTTATTTCCCTTTACTGCATTAATAAGATATCTTTTCAATACACGTAGAGTGAAGTTTTCTCTTTATCCCACTTCTACCACATGAATATTACCAACCATTTTAGTCCTGTGACAAGGAGCAGGGTTATCCTGGAATGTACACTGGTCAGTTCCACTGAAGTGATACCGAATTGTTGGCTTTAACCGGGACTCGAGCATCTTGATGTACTTGTTGACATTGACAGGACCTTTCACAAAACCTAGACGTCCCACACCCTGGCCAGAGATACATCCCGTGTCACCTGACCCTGTGTGTGCTTCACAGTAACATTGAAACACGCTGGATGAAACTCTTCTCCATATCTACGTCGTACAAAGTTCTTCCCATCTGATCAGTGCAGGTTGAACTTTGTTTCATTTGACAAGATTACTTCGTCCACATAACTTCAGTCCAGTCAGCATGATCTTTGACCCACTTGAGCCTCATCTTGTTGATGAGGAGTGTTTTTTTTTGGGGGGGGGAGACCGGCTGAACACAGGTGAGACCAGACAATGCACGCGGTTACACTGACCCTCGAGGTTTCTTTCCATACTCTTTCTAAATCTGTGGACGGCAGTAGACGATTCTACAGACTCGTGCGTTTCAGAACACGATCGTCAGCTACTGTGGAAGTTTTCATGCTACCCCTTCCCTTACCCCACTCCACACAGCCAGTCTGTTTCTATATCTCCACTCCACACAGCCAGTCTGTTTCTATATCTACACTCCACACAGCCAGTCTCTCTCTATATCTACACTCTACACAGCCAGTCTCTCTCTATATCTACACTCCACACAGCCAGTCTCTTTCTATATCTACACTCCACACAGCCAGTCTCTCTCTATATCTACACTCCACACAGCCAGTCTCTCTCTATATCTACACTCCACACAGCCA